AAGACCTCAAAAGTAATCCCTGTAGAAGGAAATAATTCTTTAAGAACAAAGATGGTCAGCAGGTTGTTAATTTTAAAAGCGAAAGTCTTCTGTCGGGGCTCAGAAAATGATACCCCAAAGTGTGGCACTCTGGCATCCTGAGCACTTTGAACTAAAGGGCGCTGGAAGGCCTCGGAAGCAGAGTCTCTCTCGGGCCTTCTCCTGCCCACCTGTCTGGCGCCCTCTGTCTCCCCCTAGACGAGTCATAGAAAGCAGAACTCCTCTTCTCTACAGCAGGTCATAGCGACAAAATACTCCTCTAACTTCCCCCACCCTCTGTGCAGGACCCACCCTGTGGGACAGGGGGTCGCAATAGTATCCCTTGTTCCAGAGGGGTCCGGCCCTACACCCGGGAGGAAGGAACCTGCACAGAGAGGTGAGAGAGTCTGAGCAGCGGGCCTCGCTCGGGCCCCCACCCCTCAGCCTGTGACCATGAGAGGTGCCTTTTGTCCAGCCGCATTTCTCCACGGCTGCCCATTCCCCATTGAAACTAAGCAGAAAAATAAATAATTTCCCTGGGTCTTTGGGTCTTCATTTCAGAAGGCGCCCGAGCCTTACAAAACTTTGATTAAGTACATTTATGCTTTTCTCTTGCTAACCTGTGTCTTGTTTTAGGAGTGTCATCGGTGACCCTGAGGATGGGTGAGGAAGGGGCCGCACCTCCCCCACCGCTGCACAACGAAACAGCCTTAATGCTCCTGCGTAAGGTCACTAGCAAACTGAGGTCCATCCACTCAGCAAAACCTTAAAAAGCTGTTAAAACAGGGCTTTAGACAAGAAGATTCATACCAGCTTTATTCTTTTAGCCAGAAGCTGGAAATAACCCAATTGTCCCTCACAGGGGAGAACAGACTGGTGCACCCACACTATGTGATTCAGCACAGTGGCAAGAAAGGAGCAGACCACTGAGCGCGTGGACAAACGTCCAAATGGGCCGAGCAGACGAGGGCGGACCAAAATGGTTCTCCTTATATGAAACTCCAGGAAAGATCGATCTAATCTACAGTCACGGGAAGCACACCAGTAGATTCCTGGGGAGGTGGGAGGTGGACTGACTTGGGAGAGGCTGGAACCTTCTAGGAAAATGTTCTATATATCTTAATGGGGGGCAGGGTTATACAGTTGTCAGAATTCACCAACCTATGCATTTAAAAGGGATGCTTTTTACTGTATGTAAATTATGACTTAATAAAGTTGATTTTCTTTTTTTTTCTTTTCTTTTTTTTTTTACAAAAAGACGAACGGGAAGGGGATCTTAACCCTTGACTTGGTGTTGTCAGCAACCCGCTCTCCCAAGTGAGCGAACCGGCCATCCCTATATGAGATCCGAACCCGTGGCCCTGGTGTTATCAGCACCGCACTCTCCTGAGTGAGCACGGGCTGGCCTAATAAAGTTAATTTTAAAAGAAAAAATACGTTTTAAAAAAGAGCCAGAAACTAAAGAGTATGATTCCGTTTACGTGAGGTTCAAGAACAGGAAATCCAATCCACCATCACAGATGGAGTGGTGGGACCTCCAGAGAAGGGGCACGACAGCGATGTCCTGGGATGATCAGAGTCTCCCGTTTCTGGATCTGGGCCCGGATGACAGGGGTGCACACAGACAGACACATGTTCCATCTTAATGCTGTTGGAAGAGCAGGGGTCTGGGGAGGCCCCAGCGGGCCCCACCCACCCCGTCCTCTTACCAGGTGCTTGACGCCACCACAGGAAAGCATTCAAGAGCAGAGTCACAGTAGACAGTGAGAACAGGCCTAACGCAAGGAAAAACAGGTTTCACAGAGCGCGTGGCCTGGCTCCGGAGCGCGAGCAGGACCCGCACCAGGTTTAACACAGAAGTGAGAAACGCCCCCTTAAAGACGAGTGCAGAGGTCGCCTCAGGAGAGGAGCAGTCACCTGCCGAAGGTAAGGTTTGGTACAAAAAACCCGATACACACCCCAGCCAGCAAAGTGTGGGTGGCCCCAGGAAAGACAGCAGCAGCCCCACCTTCTGCCGGGATTCAGATGTTATAGTTTCACAATCTAATGCATATTCACGGTGCCTGGTGAATATAAACTCCACTTTACGGAGCATGCCTGGCTCGTAGGGTTATATAACCCCTTTCTACTGGGCATGCCCAGCCACTGGGTTCGCATACATGAGCCCCCCGAGGTCTCAGTTTCTCCCATTGATGCTGAAACTAGGTCCAACAGCAACAGTAACTTTCCTCTAGGGGAGGGCTTAACGGGGGGCCTGAGACCTCGGGGAGCAGCTGGGAACCCAGAGCTGTGTCCGGAAACCCGAGCCCAGGAAACCGAGCAGCTCCTGTCTCATTAATTTCTAAATATGGTTACGAGGGCCGTGCAACATGGTCACCATTTACCGGGTGGGCCTGAGCTCAAAGCCCATGTCCTTGGCGGCAAGAAATGCTTAAGCTGCGACGCAGAGCGTCTGCACAATGGTGCGCAGGCCTCGATGGCAGCGACAGAAAACTGGAGGGAAGAGGTCAGAGGGTCAGCGAGGAGACCGGGCTGCAGGGAGACGGTGCGGGTCCCTCACCTGCTTTCTCTATGGTCCTCCTACAGCTGCACTGCAATCATAGTAAGAGGGAATCAGAACTTTCACGAAGTGCTTCCCTAGCTCAGTAGCTGGATCTGGAATTTGTGCGGCGCCCCCCGCGGGCAGCGCTGCAGCCGTCGATGGTGTCAGGCTGAGGACGCGCTCGGGGACTCTCCTCTTGCTCCTCTTGTTCTGAACTTTTACACCGTTTCTGGGTGACCTGCAACAACAAGCCCAAGACACTCCTGCGACCAGAAGGGTCCAGAGCGGGGTGACACCCGCCCGACGGTGCCCGGTCCTCGACGGCGGCTGCTCACCCGTGACCGCGGGGGCGCCGCGCGGGGCTTTCCCGGCCGCGGAGCCGAAGCCGTCCCGGCGTTCGCGGGGCAGCCCGGCCGAGGCGTCCCATTGGCCGGCGCGGCTCTGCAGGGCCGCCCCGCAGCCACGGATGCTCGCGGGTGCCGAGCCGCTGCGCCCCGCGCGTCCTGCTGTAGCGGCAGCGGGGACCCGGACCACGGGCGGCCATGCAGGAGCCGCTGCTGGGAGCCGAGGGCCCGGACTACGACACCTTCCCCGAGAAGCCGCCACCGTCGCCGGGGGTCAGGACGCGCGACGGGTGAGAGCGTCTGGGTGTGGGGTTGTGGGTGGGGGCTGGGGATCGCTCCGGTCCCCTCCGGAGGGCGGCTGGCTCCCGCCCGGGCCTCCTCTGACCATTCAGCTCCCTCCTGCCGCAGACACGCTGGTCTTGTTTATGGAGCTGGTTTCCCTTAGGGAAAGGACGAGCCAAGGGACTACTGGACCCAGCCCCCAACTTGCACAGACAGGGAGACTGAGGCCCAGAGAGGGCGAGGGGCTTGCTTAAGGTCACACAGAGCGGGGAGCAGAGCCCAAGCCTCCTCTTCTGGAGGAGAGGGCCCTGGCTTCAGGGTCAGCCACAAGGATGGGCTAAAGCCCTGGGAATTTCCCAGGAGCCAGGCCCTCTCAGTGCTGTCTGCTGAGCTGGGCAGCCACCAGGCTCAGGAAAGGCAACAGTTCCAGAAGGAGGGACTCAGAGACCCTGGTCCTTTTGTCCCCCACCATCACCAGAGCCCTGCAGAACAAAAGGTTGTTCCTGGCCACCTTCGCTGCCGTGCTGGGCAACTTCAGCTTTGGGTATGCCCTGGTCTACACGTCCCCAGTTATCCCAGCCCTGGAGAACTCTTCAGATCCGGACCTGCATCTGACAAAAACCCAGGCATCCTGGTTTGGGGTAAGGACCATGCTCTATGCCGGAAGGGCTGGGGCAGGGGGAGCAGGGACCTGCTGAGCTTTGTCCCCAGCTAGTGGGCTCCAAAGGCTCAGCCATGAGACCTCCCACAGGGAGTCCACCCTTCTCCCACCCACTCCGGGTGCTGGCTATGGGTGAGGCCAGATGACTGCCCTAAGTGAGGAAGTGAAAGCCGGTGGAGAAGGCGTGGAAAGGAGCAGGTGGGGGGCGTCCCTGAAGGTCTCTATCATGTGGAGTTGAGGGTTCCTCAGGGACCCCCAGCTGGGCTGCCACAGCAGAGCAGACACCTCCCTGGATGGATGGGGCAAGGACATCAGGTGTCAGTGGAAGAGATTGTGGCTAATGGAGAGGAAGACCCTAAGAGTCCCAGGACTTTGGAATTACAATCTTAATAGCTTCAAATTTAGAACCTATAACATAGTAGCTAAGATAAAAGTGCCCACGGTGTGTACTGGACAATTTGCCAGGGCGAACTCCTTGAGGTAAGTACTATCATGCTCTCATTTCACACATGAAGAAACTGAGGCTCAGTCAGGCTAAGCAATGTGCCCAAGTCTCACTGCTAGGGAACAGCAGAGTCCAGACTGGGTACTAGTCACCATACTCTGTACAGAGAATTCCAGAACCCCCCAGTCTTAAAGTCCCAGGGTCTCCAAGTCACAGAATTCTCCTGTATTAAACTATTAGATGCTTAGACATCAGGCTGGACAGAACCATGTGGACACGTGTCCACCTCCTCCCTAGAGCAGCCACTTTGGCATCCCTAACAAATGGTTGTCCCCATGCTGCTTGTACACCTCTAGAGACAGGCAGCTCACTACCATCACTGGCCTGAGTCCTGGACCAGCTCCTGGGGTCAGCCTGGAGTAAAAGCTGTCTCTAGGGTCTGTGGGAGGTGGGGTGCTTAGTGCCCAGACACATCTGCCCACACCTCCTTTCTCTGCAGTCCGTGTTCACCTTGGGAGCAGCAGCTGGGGGCCTCAGTGCCATGGTCCTCAATGACCTCCTGGGCAGGAAGCTCAGCATCATGTTTTCAGCTGTGCCCTCGGCAGCAGGCTATGCGCTCATGGCGGGTGCCCACGGCCTCTGGATGCTGCTGCTGGGGAGGATGCTGACGGGCTTCGCTGGGGGGCTCACGGCTGCCTGTATCCCGGTAAGGCCAGGACGTCCCATCCAGTCACCACTGCCTTGGTATTGTGCTGAACACCCTTTGGCAAAGGCCCCCCACCTCCGTGCCTTCTGGTCAATGAGAATAGGTTTGCCTTCTCCCACAGCTGCCTGGGGAGCCCCAGCTCATCCCTGACAGGGCAGCTGATTTTGGGGAAATCGTCCTCATCGCCCCAGCTCTCCAAATTCTCTATCCTGTTTCTTGACCAATCAGATGCATTGCTCAATTGGAGAAAATCGCATTGAGCAATGGGCAGGAAAGGGAAGTCCTCGCCCTGTGCCGTTCCTGGGACCTTCTGATCTCATTCAGGCGCCCACAAGCCAGGCCTGGCCAGACCAGCAGGGGGACAAGATCACAGGGAGGAATGGACTCACCTGCTCAGCCCGAGTCTGGGTGTCCTCAGGCTTCCTTAATTTCCAGCAACTCACCTCCCCTTTCAGAGCCAAGTGCTCCTGCCCACTTCACAGTTAGGGAAAGTGAGGCCAGAGGGAGGTCAGGAAAGCTGCCCAGGGTCACACAGTGAGTCATGACCAGAACTAGGGCCCATCAGAAGTGCCCCCTTCCCCCATCTCGGTGAAGTCCAGGAACCTACATTCTCACCAAAGCCCGAAGTGTGTCTTGCAGGTGTATGTGTCTGAGATTGCCCCCCCAGGTGTTCGCGGGGCCCTGGGGGCCACGCCCCAACTCATGGCAGTGTTTGGATCCCTGTTCCTCTATGCCCTTGGTAAGTATGGCGCTGCACCTCCTGTGTGCAGGCTTGGGGGTGGGGTGATGGGTGCTGCTGAGGCGGACGTGGATGGACAGGGAATGAGCGTGCCCCAGAACCACCCCTGGGCTGGGAGGCAGGAGATCTGGCTTCCCGGCCCCACTGGACCACCACTTCACTGTGTATCGCCAGGCAATTTCCTGCCCCTCTCTGGTCGCGAGGCCCAATCTCTAACTAGGCAGTGAGGGCTTCTCCCGGACCAGCAGTCTTCAGACTCTGTTAAAGCAGAATGTTTCCATCAAATACGGTCTCAGGAAGACCATGTAGAAAAGAAATCAGAGTGTATCTGTTCTGGTTGCGGTGAAGCGGGGATTTGGGGTGGAGGCATGGGCCTTGCCTGCTCAGCCCAACCCTTCCTTACCCTGCCATGGCCCTTGAGACCCTCCAAGGACCTCCCACTGTGTGCCAGAGGCAGGCAGTCCCTGAAGCCCTCCACCACCTGGATCACAGCGGCCAAGGCAGTCAGGCTTCCCATAGGATGCGGTCCTCAGACTAGACCGCAGAGGGCAGATGAGGGGCTCTGTCCGGTCTGGACCGTGGCCCCTCGCCCCCCTCTCGCAGGCCTGCTGCTGCCGTGGCGCTGGCTGGCTGTGGCCGGGGAGGGGCCTGCGCTCCTCATGATCCTGCTGCTCAGCCTCATGCCCAACTCGCCGCGCTTCCTGCTGTCACGGGGCAGGGACGAGGAGGCCCTGCAGGCTCTGGCCTGGCTGCGCGGGGCCGGAGCTGACGTCCACAGAGAGTTCGAGCAGATCCAGGACAACGTCCGGAGACAGGTGAGCGAGGGTAGAGTGCCAGCAGTTCCAGGTGGCCGGGCCAGTCACTAGGCCTCTCTGAGCCTTGGCCGCTTTTCCTGGAAAATAAAGATAGTGGTCGCCACTAATCTGAGAGCCTGGGGCTGGGGTCAGGGTTCCTCCAAGCCTGTTGCCAGAGCCTGGGTTGCCTCAGTAGGCTGGTTCTTTCCTGGAGAGGGAAGAAGGGGGTCTCCCAAGCAGCCCCTCGTGGTCCCGGGCAGGGTGGCACCTGCTGGAGAGGTGGACACAGCTCCTCAGTGGTGGCCTTGTGTCTCCAGAGCAGCCAAATGTCGTGGGCTGAGGCCCGGGACCCCCACATGTACCGGCCCATCCTCATCGCCCTGCTGATGCGCTTCCTGCAGCAGCTGACAGGCATCACTCCCGTCCTGGTCTACCTGCAGTCCATCTTCGACAGCACTGCCGTTCTGCTGGTGAGCGCTCTGCCCTGGCCAACGCCTGCCCGCAGGGCCCCGGGAGGTGGGAGGCCTGCCCCGCACTTATGTCCCAGGCCCCAGCTGAGCACCTGCTCTGTGCCAGAATCCAGCAACTGCCAGGGCCCCTTCCCTGTTTCTGTGCCATGTACCAGTCCTCAGAACAATGCCTTTAAGTGAAACTTAAATGTTTTAAAATATATAGGATTGCCAAGGAAAGCAGTTTTATAGAAATGTGGACCATGGACCCCAGGTTCAGAGCCCCTGTGGTGTCTGCCACTCAGTGAGGGAAGTCACTTCCCCTCTGAACCTCAGCTTCCTCCTCTGCAAGACAGAGACAGTAGCATGCCCATCCCGAGGCTCAACATGAGATGAGGTCTGAAGATTAGTGACAGCACAGTTAGTTCAGTCATCATGCCTGGATTCTGCCCGCTGGTCTCATGGGTGGGCACAGCAGGCACGCCCCTGCCAGGGAGGCCCTGAAACCTGGGGCAGTGCGCACAGCGCCGGCACAAGGTAGGTGCTCACAGCCCAACGCCCCAAAGGAGCCACAACCATGGCTTCAGGCCTGAGCACACTGCAGCACCGTGGGGGACAAGGTGTGTCATGGAGGGGGGCCAGGGGGACAAGAGTGACAAGCCAGGGTCTCTCAGCCCCAGCGGCCCCTCTCTGCAGCCCCCCCAGGACGATGCAGCCATTGTGGGGGCCGTGCGGCTCTTGTCAGTGCTGATCGCCGCCCTCACCATGGACCTCGCTGGCCGCAAGGTCCTCCTGTTTGTCTCAGGTGAGCCCTGCCCCTCCTCCACATGCACACACACACTTCTCCAGCAGCTGCTGCACTGAACCTGGGTGGGGATGTGCCGATCCCTGCTCCCCCACCCCATTGCCCAGCCTGGCCACCCCCGGCCGCCATCAGCAGGGGCTTTAGCTGGGAGTTGGGTGGGGGACTGTGGCTGGGAGCTGAGGGGGAGGCCTGCCTCCCCAGCACCCTGCACAGGGTCTGACCAAGGTCTGCTGGAGCTTCTGTGAGTGAACAGGCCATGACACACCATGGTGGGTGCAATGGGCTCCAAAACCAGGGCTGGAGACTGGGCTTGTAGCTGTTCGGGGCTGTCTCTAGGCTCAGGCAGGGGCTGGCCGTGGAGGGCTCTGTGAGAAGAGCTTCCGGAAGAAGGGGCCGCTCAGGGTCCTGGCCCCTCTGGGCCACCTTCTACCCACAGCAGCCATCATGTTTGCTGCCAACCTGACGCTGGGGCTGTATGTCCACTTCGGTCCGAGGCCTCTGACCCCCAATAGCACCATGGGCATCGAGACTGTACCCTTGGGGGGCACCCCCACCAACTACCTCACCCTGGTGCCCCTGCTGGCCACCATGTTGTTCATCATGGGTAGGTGTGGCAGTGACTCCACAGGGGGTGGGTCTAAGAGGGGGTGACATATACGGGGGGTCGTTATTGCTGTCCTGGTCTGTCTGGGGGTGGTTGGAGGGGAGGGTCTCTCAGCAGCATGGTGGAGACAGACGTGGGGCCTAAGCCGCCCTCTCCCCTCCCTGGGGCAGGCTACGCCATGGGCTGGGGGCCCATCACCTGGCTGCTCATGTCTGAGATCCTGCCTCTCCGGGCCCGTGGCATGGCCTCGGGGCTCTGCGTGCTGGTCAGCTGGCTCACCGCCTTCATCCTCACCAAGTCCTTCCTGCTGGTGGTGGTGAGTGCTGAACCCCAGGGACCCTCCAGCTGGCCGGGGGCCCCTGCTTGCTGCCAGTGGTTGTACTGAGGACTTCGCTGTGGGGTCATCTGACCTGCAGTGACCCTAGGAGATTAGCACATGCCCTTTCACTCTGAGGCCAAGCACGGTAAAGTGACAGCACACAGCCTCCTTCGTTATAAGAAACGAGCTTGGGAAACTGCTGGGAAGTCAGGCCACCTCCCGGCCAGGGCAGGACATGGCCCAGAACTCTGCCCACAGCCGCTCCTGCCCGTGCTTGTTGCCCAGGCGCTGGGCCTTCCTTCTGAGTCTCAGCAGCATCCTCTGCTGTCCAGCCTACAGCACGTGGGAGCCACCTCCCCCACCTCCCACCAGCAGGCCCTGAAACCCACCAGAATCCAAAGAACTCTGCCCACAGCCGCTCCTGCCCGTGCTTGTTGCCCAGGCGCTGGGCCTTCCTTCTGGGTCTCAGCAGCATCCCCTGCTGTCCAGCCTACAGCACGTGGGAGCCACCTCCCCCACCTCCCACCAGCAGGCCCTGAAACCCACCAGAATCCAGGTCCCAGTTCCAAGTCCCCATGAGGGAGAATCTGATGGGGGCAGCTTGGGCCAGTGCCTAACCTGGTCCACTCAGTGGTCAGGGCAAGGTGGGGGGCTAAGTCAGCTGGGGTGGCCCAGAAGAACACGGGCACAGCCCCACCAAGCCATGGTGGCATGCTTCTGTAGGCTGGAGTGGGGAGCAGCTGAGGCTCAGGGTGGGTCCTGGAGGGGAGGAGGGGTTCCTGGGCTGAGGCCGGAAGGCCAGGCCGAGGCAGGTGGAGCCTCCACACAGGCAGGGAATCCTAGTGCCCAGCCCCAGAAGAAAGCCAAGAGTGGACTGGGCTCAGGCTTCCAGAGCCTCCGGTGCCACTTTAGAATATCTGGATGCTGTCCTGGGCCGGGGGACCCTCGAGCCTCTCCCATCTGACTCGGTGCCTGTCCTCCCCAGAACGCCTCCGGTCTCCAGGTGCCTTTCTTCTTCTTTGCGGCTGTCTGCTTGGTGAACCTGCTGTTCACGGGCTGCTGTGTGCCTGAGACCAAGGGCCGGTCACTGGAGCAGATCGAGTCCTTCTTCCGCACCGGGAGGAGGTCCTTCCTGCGCTAAGTCAGGGTCCCTGTCACCGGGTAGCCAGGCCTCTGCGCTGACCACAAACCTGCACCCTGGGACCCAGAGGCAGCAGCAATCCCTGCCACCAGCCAGAGCCCCAGAGCACCGGTCACAGGCATGAGGCCCCCCAGAGCGTGCTGTCTGGCTCTGGACAGGCAGCCGCGCTGCCCAGCCACAGTCCCAGCTCAGCGGGCCCGCGGTGTTGCACACACGTCGGCGAAGACCACCAGGGGAGGAGGCAGCCATGGGCTACAGGAGAGCACGTGGCATGGTGACCAGAGACAAGGCCTGACTGAGCAACCTCAGGCCCAGCTCCTCACTTGCATTCACAGGAGGCTGTGGTGAGGACACAGCTGCACCTCAGTCCTGTGTCCACAGGGGTCTTGTGGACAGCACAGGGAACATTCAGACTTCTAAAGGCCAGGGCACCCAAACCCGTGTGGCCACTTCCTCCTGCCCCAGCCCATCGCCTGGGAATGGGGTTCCTGTCTGCAACTGTGTTCACCCTGTTTATAAAAATAAACTGGGCCTGCAGCCTCCAAGAGGGAGTGGAGTCTACTCCAGGCGGGGAGCCCCACACTCTTGGCAGGGTGGCCACCGCCTCCGCCAGTTCATCCCCAAGGAAGCAGCGGTTAGGGAGGAGAGTGCGGCGGGCGTGAGGGAAGCCGGCTGGGGGCCCCAGCAATTCCTGTGTGACCTTGGGCAGTCACCTTCCTTCTCTGGGATGCTTTGAGCAGGCTCGGAACAGGACCTGCTGCCTACGGGCACCAGAGAAAAGGTGACAGGCAGAGCGCACAAGCAAGCACACCAGCTATAGCCTCACTTTATTGCTCAAAACATGAGCTAACAGGTCAGCCAGGAGTAGACTGAGAGCTGCACAAAGACAGAGTCCAAACACAAAGGCAGGGGTGGCACCTGGCAGCCCAGCCGGCCTGGGCCCCTCGGCCACTCAGAGTCACTCTGCAAGAAAGGCACCCCCAGGAGACAGGGTAGGGGGCTCCAGCACTGATCAGCTATAGACCTGCTGGGAACCTCAGGGCAAGTGCCTGCCTGCCCTGGCCCATGTGCCCTGAGGGCCTTTCCACCTCAGCACCCCACCCCACAGCCTGCCCAGCACCCACTCGATTTCCCCACAAGGTAGTGTGGCCTCTTTGACACACAGAGCCGCCCCCTGCTGCAGCCAGCATAGCCCCTCTGGCAGAGGCCCCGGGCAGAAGTGACCCCCGAGTCCCACTACCTGGGTAAAAATGAGCAGAGAGGCGGGCAAGGCCCTTGCTCCTCCTGGGAGGTAGACAGGTCTTATTCACTGCACACGCAGGAGACAGACAGACAGACAGACAGACAGACAGACACACACACACACACACACACACACAGCCCTTTAAACCCAGCACTGGCCTGAGGAAGGTGGCCCCAGAGGAACCCTGAAGGCACATGCCCTATAGCCACACTGCAAAGCCCCTGCCACCCTGGACCTCAACCTCATCAGACTTCCTGGAGGGCTGCTGCTGACCTGGGAGCCCACTGCCATGTCCCCAGGGCAGCTCTGAGCAGCGCCCAAAGAGCCTCCACTTCTGAGAGCCGGCCGCTCCTGGCCTCAAACACTGATGGGCCTCAAAGGTCCCTCTGGGAAACACAGACCTGGGCACAGCCCTGGGGCTGGTATCCACATACAAGACCCAGTCCCTGAGCCTAGGAGCCCAGAGCAGGCCCAGCCTGGCATCTGGGGAGGAGGAAGACTGGGAGCTGGGCCCCAGATGGAACAGCTCTCAAAAGATAGCTGTGCCCTGAGGTCAGGGGTGGGGCGGGCGGCAGGAGTACCTGAGGTGGGCAAGCCCATCCCTGCTAATGGGGCTCGGCCCCTGCTGACATGGGCAGGACCACAGCAGAGAGGCAGGTGGGCACTCCCTGGGTGCTGGGGAGAGACTGCTCCCCCCACTCAGCACCAAGGCCTGGGGCAGGGAGTGGGCGGGCCAGGCCCGCTGGAATGGGACAGCTAGGGTGTCTTGCAAGGGCTTGTCCAAGGTTCCAGGGACTGGGGCAGGCCCACTCCCCACCCAACTGTCCAGTCACTGCCAAGGCCACTGTTCCAGGTACAGGAGGGGGCATCTTAGGAGCACCACAGGCTCCCTTGGAGGGCAGAGTGACAGCCAGGCCCATACCCTTGGGCAGTGGTGGCAGGCTGCAGGCAACAGCAGTCTCAGGACACTCCTCTGCCCACTGCCCACCCTGAGGACAGTGGACAGAGGCAGCCCTGGGGGCTCCACCTGCCGGGAGAGCTGGAAAGAGGCTATCTCTGTTCAGTGCCCAGGCCCATGGGACAGGGCGCAGGAGCCAGGTTGACATGTCTCCCCCTTGAGCCAGGACCAGAGTCTCTGGGGAAGCTGCTCCCAGGCTTGGGGCTGACCACCAGCAGTGGGAAGTCTGCAGACCAGCCAGCAGCCTGTTTCCAGCTAAGCCAGGCTGTGGGAGGAGCAGGGCCAGGTGGGCTGGTGGCGCAGAACTGCTGCAGGCTCTGCTCAGTTCCGCCTCAAGTGCTGCGGCCCAGGCCAATCTGGAGAGAGGCATCACAGGAGGGGTCCCGGTGGGGACACATGCAGGAGGCGTCCCTCAGGGTCGACACTCCAGGCCTTGTCCTCCAGATATTCTCACGCAGAGCCAGAAGAGCGGGCAGGCAGGGGGGCACCCGACCACATCACAGCTCCCCTTCCAGCGTCTCCGCCAGCTTCTCCTCATCTGCCTGCTGCTTCTGCTGCTGGATCCTGGCGTAGGAGATTGCGTCGCCCCTGGGGGGAGAGTGGGTCAGCGTCACGTGGCACACAGCCCCCCAGCCACTGCCCGATTCCTGGCCCGTGACCCAGGCATGACCTAGGCGTGACCTGTAGGCAGAGCCCATGGGGTCTTCTGTTTCCCCAGACAGAGACCATTGCCAGGTTGGCAAAGGCCTGTCTGGTCACCTCTGAAAGTGGCACAGACTGCCTGGGACAGTGGGCTGAGAAGGATTCAGTCTCAGTCTGGGCTCTGCAGGAGAGTGGGTGGCAGGTGACCACAACGGTGGGTGTGGACCCCAGCTGGGAAGAGGCTCTCCCAAGCTATGCATTAGCTGTCCCTGCTACCAGCTGTGCCAAGGCAAGACCAGGCCACTCAGGAAGTCTCATGAATTCTCTTGCCTTCATCCCCTAGAGCTGAGCACCCTGGAGACATTGATGAGAGTCACTGACAACCTCTGTGCCTCAGTTTCCACAAGCTAGATAAAAGGGGTAACTCTCAATTCCTCACTGAGAAACTTCAAGGGGCACGGAGGGCCAGTCCCACCCCCCAGGGGCTGGGACCAGCAGACATACTTCTTGCCCAGAGCAGAGAGTCCGTACAGCACCCCCGTAGCGAAGGCGATGGCGTTGCCCAGCAGCGTGGTCAGGGTCAGGCTGATGATGACGGGAATGACGGCCATCCTGGGGGAGAAACAGAGCTCAAGGGGCACTCCCACCCCACGGCTGCCACGGTACTTCTCGGATTCCCAGATTCTCAGACAACCAGGGGCAGGATGGATTCCAAGAAAACTAGGACACAGGTCCATGGCCAGGCCCCAGAAAGTCCTTGAACACCCATCGATATGTCTGCAAAATTCTGTGCATTTTGTTGGGAGACAATCCAAAGCTTTCATCAGATTTTGGAAAGGGTCTGTGATCCAAAAAGGATTAAACACCAACGAGATGGTCCAGCGCCCTCACTGTTCATAAAAACGGGCAGCCCAGGGAGAGGCTATAGCCAGAAAATCTGGCGTCGTGTCCAGTCCAGCTTTAAGACCGTGAACAAGTTACTTAACTTCTCTAGGGCTCAGTCTCTCTACTGTAAAGAAGGATCAAACCTCGACCGTGAAGGATGTTAACTACTTAACACAATGCCTGGAACACCACAATCGCTAAATAAATGCTCATTAGCCCAGCTATATCTCAACAGACCAGCCATGTTTCAACAGGGAAGGTCCCCAAACGAAACCCATGGGACCCAGGGCCTCATCACAGCAAGGGTCTGCCTGGTCCCAGCGGCAGTTTGGCGCCACCTAGTGGCGGGGTCCACTCTGGCTTAATAAATATCCCTGGGCTGATGCTGGGTCCTGGCTGGAACTTCCAGACCAGCTAACTGGGCCAGGAAAATACCAGCAACCGGAAGACCAACACTGCCCTGCCACTCCCCTAGAGGAGGCTGCCTGGACAGGAAGACAAGGCTCACAGAAATTACATTCTACCCGAATTTCCATTCCTGTGGGATGTGTGGCTGTGAGATTTTACCACAGTCTAAAATTTTTTTGAAGGAGTAACAAAATAATAGATATTATAGAGAAAAAGAAAGACCACAGGTGAAAAAAAGTCGGTCAAAACAAAGTCAAAGGCAGACAACAGGCTGGAAAAATACCTGCATGAAATATAACACAGGATTATGGAATCTTCAATATAGAAAACACATGTCACTTGCCAAGTAAAACACCAACATTCGAATAGGTTAAAAAGTAAACCAGAAAATTTTCAATAAAAAAATGCAATTAAAACATATGGGAGAGTGGGCGGCCTGGTGGCGCACTGCTACAGTGCGCCGCTTGGGAAGTGCGGCGGCGCTCCCGCCGAGGGTTCGGATCCCACATACAGACTGGTTCCCGCTCACTGGCTGAGCGAGGAGCGGGGGCAACACCGAGGGTTGCGATCCCATTGCCGGTCCCGGTCCGGTATGGGCGCGACACTGAGGGTTGCGATCCGTTGCCAGTCACGAAGAAAGAGACAAAAAGACAAAAAAAAAAAAAAACATATGGGAGAATATTTTACCTCTTAGGGTAACACAAACGTGAAAAAGGCCCTGGGTGGGGCGTGGGGAGAAAAAGAGGATGGCCTCTTTGGAAGGCAAGTTAGCCACATGATTAAAATCTTTTTAACAAACATAACCTTCGACCTAATAATTCCACACTCAGAAATATACTCTAGGGCCAAGCCCGTGGCGCACTCGGGAGACTGCGGCGCTGGGAGTGCAGCAGCGCTCCCGCCGCGGGTTCAGATCCTATATAGGGATGGCCGGTGCGCTCACTGGTTGAGCGCGGTGTGGCCAGTCTCAAAAAGGACAAAAAAAAAAAAAAAAAAAGAAAGAAATATACTCTAATGAAATCGTCATAAACAAAGAAAAAGTCTGAGCAGACAGATGCTCTCCACGGTCTGACTTACGCCACAGCCAGCTAAGAAAAGCATGACACGTCCACTGAATAAATGTTCCTGTCATCAATGGTACAAAGCCTTCGTGGTAACACTGAAAATGTTTACATCATTACATTAAGTGGGAAAAAAGCAGGATACGGCTCATTTGGAATGGTTATAACTGTGTTAAAAACAGCCTTTCAAAAATGCCTGAAGACAAACTGGGAGGACACACATAGAACAGTCAACAGGGAGCGGCGCTTTGAGTAACATTTTCTATTTTCCACATTATTCTTAATGAACACACATCACTGTCAGCATTTTTAAAATCCACGTTTTTAAAAAGCAGAGGACAAGGCAATGTGGGCGACTGATGTCCTGCGACCGAGCACCCCGTCATGACGTTGCTACCGCGGAAGACAGCTGGGGAGCCAAACACGTGCCTAGAGCTCTCGCTGTCAGAATTACTGGGCCTCCATGAAGAGAGAAAGCTTTGGTCTGTATTTGTTTCTAAAGAAATAATCATAAACATCGCTCCTGCTGCCAGCCTGCTATGCACAAGGCACTGTTCTAGGAACTTCCACGCATTAAACTTATCCTAAACTCAGTTCAACCTTATGACTCAGATGTGAGGTGCTACATAGTGATTTCATTGACAGAAACAGGAAGAGCAGAGCATATTTAGAAGGCAGCAATGTTTTCTGTTCTGCAACCCGCTTGTCCCGCTTCCATGTCACGACATCTGCACTCCCTGGAGAGGTTGCACAGAAACACATCACAGGATCGACCATAACCTGTTTAAAAACTCCCCACTGAGGGGCCAAAGTTCCAAACACTTCTCATTTTTCTCTGCCGTGCAAACTGCTGCAAGGTACATATATCTCATCCGTCCTTGGACCCTTGTGTGACTATGGCTGCAGGCTCCATTGCTAGATGCAGACTCGCTGGGTCACATTTTTTAGCAGCTGTCATCAAGTCAGGCTGCTCAAAGGCTGTCCCTGTTTAAACCTCTGCAGAGAGGAAACCAATGCACCTGTCACCTGCCCACCCTCACCAACACCGTCACCTGCCCCTTGGGTCACTTCATCAGCAGGGTTTTGGGAGTGGTGCCGTGGGGCCCTGCCCAGCAGCCCCTCACCCGCAGTAGAAGACAGCCTTCTGCCAGGAGCGCAGCCGGTCCACCTTCTCCGCCACCACATTTGCAAACTCAACGAACTGGCAGCAGAACGGCGCCTCGCACAGCAACAGGACGAAGGCATTCATGCTGAGGGCATGGGGAAGAAAGATGAGCAGCCAGGTGACGGTCCCGGGAAGTGCCCTGAGAGTGCCACCCGCCCCCCCCTCCTCCTCCAGGAAGCTGCCTCTTCTTCCTGGAAGAGAGAGCTGAGCACCTAACCTGCCCCAACTGCTTCTGCACGCCCATCTCCCTGGCCAAACTGAACAGTCCTCGAGGGAAGACCCTGGGTCTCTGCTTCCCTTCACTCTTCCTGTCTGTGGCATGGAGGAGTTAAGACCTCCATGCCACAGCGCTGCTGGAGGCCTGCCACAAACTCATGCACATGGAGCACTTGGCAGCCGGCAGCTGCTCATGTTATCGCCGCCATCACCAACACCAGCATTAGGAGTGGGAAAGCTGCCCCACTAGGAGCAGCAGAGAACCAGAGCCAGTCAGCCCACAGAGAGTCACTGCAAGCTGACCAGGTGCTTGATGCTGCTGGTTCTGGGCCTGGGGACACACCAGCAACGCAGATGCAGAGTTGCCATTGGGAAGCCCACGCTGGGGAGGCAGGAACTCAGCAAGCCCTTCTGTCCCACCCCCAGCACTTGAATGGGAGTAGATAGGCCACTGGTGACAGAGGGTATCTGCCCTGTGTTTTCTGTGGGTGGGTAACAGCCACTGCTACCAGGCACTGGGCCCCTACAATATGCCAGTTCCTCCATCTGCCCCCGAGCCTGAAGGAAAGGGCTTTCATCACCCCCATGCAACAGGAACACAGGCTCAGGAGGCCGAAGAGCCCACCCCATGCCCACAGCAGGGGCTCTCTTCGCTACTCCTCACCACTATCAGGGCCTCCCAGCACCCACGCGGCAGACCCCCAAACACAGATTCCCACTCCCAGCTGGCCAGTCTCTGACTCCATCCTTCTGGCCAGCACAGGCCTCTGTGCCCCCAGCACAGCAAGGCCTCTGATTCACCACTGGCCTGAGCTCCCTGAGGAAAGAACCTGTGCCTTGCCCACCTCTGTGCCCCTCACAGTACCAGCCCAGGAGGGCGCTCACACACACTGGCACACAGCCACGTCTCACAGGCCCTGAGTGGGTCACACTCAGCCACAGCTGCATGGGCAGGTCCTCACCCTGCCTTTGGGATCGAGCTACCCTGGCAGGGTAGCACCTGAGGATGCTCTACCTGCTGGTTCCTGCGCCAACTCAGAGCTGCCTCTCCCAAGCCCTGTCCATATCCAAGGCTGCCACCCACCCTCCCAGCGTCTGGTCCTCCAACTCAGTTCTCAGCCAGCCCTGATGGCACATCTTCCACATTATGGCCCTGAGAGCTCCCAGAGGGCAAGGACCCCACTGTAGTGGACTCAGCATCCACCCCGTCTGACTCAGTGGATGCTCAGGAAAAGTTTGCAGCCTCCACCCTGCACCCAACAGAGGCCTGGGGGGTGTTCCCCCGGCCCTGACCCCTCATTAAGAAACCTGAACATGGCAGAAGTATGAGGACACCACACCACAGCCAGAAACCCACATGCACAGACCCCGCCAGGCAGTGTGGTGCAGCCACGCACTACTCACACCATCCACACGCCAGCCGCGATGTTCAGAGGGCGGATGGTGATGCAGTTGAAGAGGCCGGAGATTCATGCACAGACCCCGCCAGGCAGTGTGGTGCAGCCACGCACTACTCACACCATCCACACGCCGGCCGCGATGTTCAGAGGGCGGATGGTGATGCAGTTGAAGAGGCCGGAGATCGCACAAGCTTGAAAGCAAGAGACACAGGCAGGAATCAGTAGGGAGGAAGGGGCAGAGCCTGCTGGGAAGGCCGCCTGGGGGAGGGCTTAAGGCATCACGGGAATCCCTTTGGACGCTCAGAGCTTGGTTCTTCCCACGGCACCCACAAGCCTCCCCTCTATCATCTGCCGCAGGTGAGGATAAGACTCAGAGAGGCAAGTGCCCCAGGCCCCACAGCAAGGCGGGCGCAGGGCTGCGGCTGCATCTCAGAGCCGGCTGGCTCTCGGAGCTTGGAAAGGCTGCGAGGGCTTCTGACCCTCTCCCTGTTGGGGCTTGGAGGAGCTGGCCCTCTGACCTTGCAGGGTGTTGTTTAAAGAGACAGTGTTTCTCAAGGGCTCAGGCCAGTGCTCACCTAGACTGAGCCCTCCTAATGGCCGCTTACCACCATTCACTGGGCTGGCCCCCTAAGAAGTCCTCTGATTCAGAAGACGTGGCTTGGATTTTGGTTGGGGCTAGGGGTGCCTCTCTTGGAACAGAGATTGGAACCAAGCGAGACCTTAGTGACAGTTCCAGCTCTGACTCCCCACCAGCCCAGTGACCTTGGGCATGTTCTCTTCACCTTTCTAGGCCCGTTTTCTCTCCCATACACGGGCAGGTCCCACACCCACCGCTGAAATACGAAGCAGCCATGAGGGGGGTGAGTGAATCCTCTTCTACCCCACAACGTGGCTTCTCCAATGCCTCAAATGTGGAGCCTCAACCCCCCTCCTCTCTCAACTGCACCTCGCAGGCAGGGTCTGCATAGCCACCTCCCTCCTCTACCCGCAGCCTGCAGCCTGTGAGGCAGTCCAGGGAGCCGGCTGCCACGCAGGAGGCAAGCCCAGACCTTCGCAGGGGCGGGCAGGGCAGCAGCTCATTAAACTTGCAGCAGCTCCTCTACACCCGCTACTCCGCAGGGCCAGAATTCCCTGCCTTCCCTGTAACCTACACAGACAGCAGGCGGTGGAGGAGGAAACCAGACAATCAGACTTCAGCCAGCAAGGTTCCCCAGAGCCACAGGGCCACATGGCTTCTGCCTGCTTGTCAGCCCTGCCAGGCCTCACCTGACAGCAGGCCTACACTTCCTCCTGCAGTCAGCATTTCACCTCCAGCTCCAATCCTATCTCCACTGCCCTGCCCCACAGCCAGCCCAGGGGGACAACCAGATCTCAACCCAGACAAACAGGCCCCGGCCAGGAGTTGTTTAGGGCAACCCTACCCCAAACTGATCAGACAAAAACACAAATCTAGTCTGAACTCCTGTTGCATCTCTGAAATGCCTACGCTTTTGGATTCTACCCTTTAATACGATATTTGGTATTGACAAAGCAAGGCCCCCCCAAATCCACAGGTGAAACTGACAACTCAGGGGGCTGCTACAAGTTTCTCCTGAAGCCTCATCTGAAAGCCCCAACTTACCACTGTGAACTGCTGGGGCGGGTACGGGGACCCCACTTTGAGAGGATTACCCTGAGAGTCGGCAGGGCCACTGGCCTACAGGCCGCTGTCACCACAGCCCACTGTCACCCCCTCAGCTCCACCCACCCCAATCTAAACAGCAGCGACAGGGACTGGGGGCTGTTCTGTGGTCGGGTCGCCTCTGGATAAGGGCGCACCTCGCCAGGGCAGCACACCCCTAACCTGCGCCCTCCTGCCGGGGCCTCCTTCCGTCCTCCACCCGCCGGACAGACGGCGGGGCTCGCCGGTGACCCTGAGAAGGTGCTCCCAGTGGCAGGAGAGCCGAGACGGGCTTCGCTTAAGTCCCCAGACCTGCTCCGACTCCGACCTTGCCCTCGGCCGGCCCTGCGCACGCCGCGCTCCCCGGGACTGAGGGCAGGCGGGGACGGGGCCGCCACACACACGGACCTAGGGCTGCCTTTGAAGGCCTGCGGCGGGGTCCCCACTCCAACCTCGGGGCAAACCTGTCCCCTCGGTACGGCCTTCTGGGCTCCCGCGAAGAGACCGGCTTCCCTGGGCGGTGGGGTGGGAGGGGGAA